TTTAGCATTATATCTGATTATTTAACTGTTTGTATTTTTAAATATTATATGTAATCTTTATATATTATATGTTGAATATAATATCATATATTTAATTGGAAAGTTGTATTTAAATATCTTCTTTTATAACTTTTTGTAACTATTAGTATTTATTAATATTATATCTTTTTAACTATTTGTATCAGTGGTATTCTTAAATGTATTTCTAATAAAAAACATACCTCATAAAATATTAACTAAACCCAAATCCGAACATGTAAATGCCAAAAATTCTTTTATTTACTAAATGTAAGTTGTACAAAAATAAAATTAGCAATTTATCAAGATATTTTAAAAATTGTTACAATATATCTTTTTTTTAATAACAACTTCAAAAATGTAAGAATGATTGGAAAGGTATTAAAAAATCATAAACATCAAACCTTTTCCTAATACTAAGTCTTTTAGTCTCAAATCAATGTCAATGTCATCTCAGATCATATCAGTCTTGCTTATTTAATAACTACTTTGAATTGGAATTAATGGTATTAACTCAGGGCTAGTTAAATCTTTTAACAATGTTCCGCAAGGCTCGCTTTAAGGGCCGTTACTTTTCCTTATTTGTTCCCTAATGTTCGAAACTAGAGCAAAAGTCTATTTGGAATACATCAGGCCGTCAAATCCTAAATAAAAATGCAAAAAACATAATATTAGAGTAAGTAATTATCAATTAATTATAAAAAGGACAAAATTCTAGTTAGAAAGTTCATAAATTATTGTTTAAAATGGTCATAACTGATTTTCGTATGTTTTTAACGATAAGGATTTTGTTTTGTATAACTTCGCATCTGAACCCCAAAAGAACTCAGTTACTTTATGGAACACATACAGCATTTAAAAGCCTCAGTTAAAAAGAAGTTATAATTTTTATTAGAGTAAGTGATACACACTCGCGGAAAATGTGGAGTTTTCTTCCACACCAGTGTGTAGCTGTAACTCCTAGACACAAGTGTGGAGTTATTTTGCAAACTTTTGTGGAAATAACTACACACTTCTGTGTAGAAGTCGAGTTAGAAAAAGTAATCACATTTTTACTATTATTGTATAACTAAGAATTACAAATTCTTAGCTATACAAAATGTAACATTCTTGTTTCCATTAAATTAAATCAAAATTTAATTTAAAATTAGGCTTTTGTTTTCATTTATAATTTATTTTTGTTTAGAGGGGGAGAGGGGGCAAGACACAAGTAATTTAGGGGCCCGGATTAAAATTTTGCGAGGAGGCCTATTTTTTGTCGCTACGCTACTGGATATGTCCTGCAAAAATTTACATAACATGTCCCCTTTTATCAAGTTAGCAATTCATATATAAGTTAAACTATATTAGTTTAATTAAATCATAATGTATACCCTTTAGGGGAAGTATTCGTTTATATATAATCTCTATTTAATTATAATTTATAACGTATAAGTGGAGCTATTCGTTTTATATTTATTTAATATATGACTATGATCTATGCCGTTTTAGTTATTTGTTTTCTAAAAATGTAAACCTTTTTAGTAGAACTTTTCGTTTTATACTTTAGTTTATATTTAATCACAATTTATTCCATTAAAGTGGGGTTATTCGTTTTATATCTAGTTCACATTTAACCAGTGGCGGATTAGAATTTTTTGGAGACCAGGATTATTTTTTTTTGGAGGGCTTTTTTGTTTGCATAGCGTAAAAAATAATTAAAAGAAAACAAAAACGGTCCTCAAATTTATTTCGGGGCCCCTAAAATTGCGGGTCCCGAGGCTATAGCCCCCTAAGCCCCTCCCCTCCTAATCTACCATTGTATTTAACTAAGCTCTATACCGTTTTAAATCTAATTTAAAAACAGTAATAATTTATACCATTTTCTTAGAGTAATTCGTGTTATTCATAAATGCATGTTAGCCATTTTACTGAACAAATCACGTACAAAAAATACGTTTCAGACACGTATAAAATAGACCACATAATAAGCGTTTGAAATCTGTTTCAGAGTTACCCCAGAAGTTACTGGAAATGAAGTAGTTATCCTTTAAGGATAACTTTAATACTAACTTTAATACAAGAGTTCTTGAAGACACTTTTGTAAGACTCTGGCAGGAATGTTTTCTGGATCACAAGCCGTAGAAGGGTTTAATTGAGATATGACTCCAGCAACGGAAGCCAGTATGATTCGATGTCTAACAGTTTGTTAACCTGAATGACTGGAATGACAAGAAAAATAAGGTCATCTAATTCAAGAATCAAACTAGAAGAAAAGTTCTTTGCAAATAGTTCTGCCTTATCCTTGTGAAAGATAATAAGATCAGACCCATAAATTAGACATGGAACATTGACTTTCCTTTGTTAATAACACTGTTAAAGATTTTCCAAAAATCTCTCGAGCCAAACTTCTGAGATAAGATGCGAGATTTAGTGAGAATAATAGAATTTAGCATCAGACATTTATAATCAATTTTTTACAATAATAAAAAGGCGTTTGTTCGCAAGAGAGTTGTTCTTTTAAAAAAGGTAAAAAAGAAGATTAGGATTAGCTATATCAGTTGCACAAGAAGATGAAAACCACGGAATAGAGTGAGTCTTGACTTGGAAACAACGAGAAAGAAAAGCTTCCATACCTACCTGGATCCATAAGGTTATGTTGGAAGCGTATTTATTTGCGAATAGAGAAAAGACATCAGAAACTTTGAGCTTTCATGCCTACAGGGTCAGTGGTGTTAAAATTAAGCCTTTCAGTGTGATGAGCATTAAGTCACTAATAATAATAACAATACTGGCAGAGGAATAAAGAGACTTTTTTTTTGGATTGATCAATTTAACCAGAAGTTTTATCTAAAAAAATGCAGACCAAAAACATTAACAGGAAAGCTATCCATGCGCAAGATGATACTGTTAACACTCTGATATTTTACAGTTGTTGATGAAATCATCCTCTCCGAGAACTACCACAGAATTCAGGAAACCTTACCACCAACCGGCCTCAGAACCATTAAGCCGAGATTTCAAACTGAGAGCAGTCGTAACACAGTGGTTAGCACGTTTGTCTTAGAGATTCGTAGTTTAACGTGACCTCAGGGAAAGCTTTCCAACATCGGTAAGGAAGGAGGCGTGAACTTTCTTTCAAATGCTCTTGCGCGTTGCTCTGTAATCAGACTTCTTGAGGCATTTAGAATAATTTTTTTTTAAAAAAAACATTAAATCGAACGGAATTACAACAGTTAAAAAATAAGTAACTTATAGGTAGGTGAACACCACCGCCAGAGGTTCAACCAGAAGACAAACGTAGATATACTGTAAAGTACACATTTTCTAGACTTTGCTTAGATGGAAAATCCTTCAAAGCAGCAGGACATGGAACAGGTTGCACACTTTTTTAATTTAAAATAAATTTTAGTAAAATACCTAAAAGCTTATTGGATTTTCAAACAACAAATCTTCACTTTTTTGAATCTTTAAAAGATTAGACATAAAAATTATTTATTAAAGTTAAAAATGTAGTTAAAATGTTAATTTACAAAAGTAAAACATAAAACTATTATTTATACTATCCCCCCCCCCTTAAACTTCAGTGCGATAGAGTTTTCTCCTTTCTTAAGCGTTTCCTACTTTTACAACTTTTAAATCTTCTGTCAACTTAATGGTTAAATAATAAAAATAAAAAGATAAATATATCATCGGTAATTACATTATAATTAAATAAGATTAAGAAGTAAAATTTATTTGAATAAATTAACTTATTTTTTGCGAGTTATTATTTTACTAGATTAAAAATGTGTTTTACCTTGCTCGAAACATAAATAAGTTTAATGATTTTACCATATTTGCATTTTCATTTGAAAAAAATTTTATATCTTAGGTCCACGAAATAGTATGGAATATTCTGTTTATTTATTATTAATTTCCTTGGTATTTTGAAGAAATTTGATTGGATACGTTCTTACGAAATACTTTTAAATTAGATTTTTGTCAAACTTTTGTTAATAAACTAATTAGAAAACTTGAATTATAGGAATCTTTGGTAGTTTTTGAATATAATAAATCTTTTACTATTTAAAAGTCTTTCATAGACTCAACAATAGGTCTAAGTTGAGAAAACTGAGATGTAAAGGAGTATTAAAAGACTTTATCTTATCTACACACGACAGTTTGCTGAACAGTGTGAAAACTTTGTTCTAAATAGGGTACCATTGCGGTTCTAAAAATAGATTAACTTTTTGCAAAGATTTCTAGGATAGTAATGCGGACAAACACGGGGGCATCCATAAAGTACGTACGCATTAAAACGACTGATTTAGGACCCCTCTCCTTCCTTATACGAGCCTATACGCTTTCGAAGACTCCCTCCCCTCCACGTACGTACGCATTATTTTTTTTTCAAAGCTAATCGATTCCTTTTCTCTCCTCATTATCTATAAAGAAATAAAATAAAAAAATTGTGACCAAAGTCAGAAAAAAAAATACAACTCTGATTTGTTACACACCTGAAATTCAATGTTTAAAAAAAATAAAATCTTGATTAAGAGAGATAGTTAAACCGCGTACGTACTCACTGTCTTTAATACCCCTTCCCCCCCTTGTACGCGTTCGTACGTTTTTGGGAAATTCCCCTCTCTTATACCAGCATTTCGTCGCATGAGAATTATAGGGTTCTATCTGGCTTGTTTTATGTTGAAAGAATTTAACAACCAAAGTTTTAATTAATAATTAAAACAAACCACTTAAAAAATGATATATTATATATCATTTTTTAAGTGGTTTAATATAAAATATGTTAAATAATGAAATATAGATAATATAAACAATTTATAATTTATAACTATAATGAATAACAGCTGTAAAACATGTATTAAATAAATATTGAAAGTTAAGTTCTCACAACATAAAAAAAAGCAGATAGAACCCTATAATTCTAATGTGACGATTTATTATTTATAAAGTTGTACACAGAAGTTACGATTTTTAAAAATTTTACGACTTTGTTTTGATTTAAAAAATATATAAATATATTTATATTAATTTGACAATAAATGCCAAAAATTTATACAACGTGCAACTTCTTTTCTAACTAATCTTTTTTTGTCATCACGTCTAGGTTTCAATCCATTTATTATTTCGTCCTTCATAGAATAAACTAGCTGAGTAGGATACATAGATATTTTTCCAAGACATTTTATAGCACATATACGGATTTCCATAGAGTTGTGACTGGAAAGTGAGATCAAACGCGGTGTCAGCGACGCAACATAATCAGACGCTATATTTTTGTTATGATCCAGCACAATGTCAATAATAGAAAGCGTAGACGCAATGTTATTATTAGAAAGACTTGTCAAAGAATGGAGAAGTAAAGGCATTAACTAAATTACAAAACAATTCTTAACATCTTCAAATTAACAAGTTAGATAAACTGAAAAGAAATAAAATATACAAAAAAATATATATATTAAAAACTATCCCAATAGTGTATATATAAATACACACTCACACACACAGATATATATATATATATACAGTGGCGGAACTACTGGACGCAGGACTCTGCGTTGCGGGGGGGGGGGGGGGGGGTCTACCAGCTATAGGGGGCCCTCATATAAAAAAAGTTATACTCTCAATAATATTTATACTATAAAACTCTTTTCCGCAAAAAAAACATTCTTTTGCGGGGGGGGGGGGGGGGGGCCAAATTTTGAAGTTCCGCCACTGTATATATATATAAATATATATATATATATATATATTTTTATATATACATATATATATATATATATATATATATATATATATATATATATATATATATATATATATATATATATATATATATATATATATTTATATATATATATATATATATATATATATATATATATATATTTATATATATATATATATATATATATATATATATATATATATATATATATATATAGATATTTTTATATATATATATATATATATATATATATATATATATATATATATATATATATATATATATATATAAAATTAAACAGATTTACTTACAGACTCAAGGTTTTTTTGAAACATTTTTCGTGGAGAAACTTGTAAAGTTATAGATATCACTGTCATCAAGTATGGTTTTAAATCATCGTCACCATTGTTATAATATGAAATCAAAGAAGGTAGGATAATTTGAGAAAAATGCTGTTTATACAATATTTTAATATTGGAATGAGATCTATGATCAAAAGCCTTGGGATAAACATTAAACATTATTTCAAAATTTTCAGAAATAAGGCAGGCTGTCGTTTTGCCTTGAAGTAACTTCAAAAGCAAATTTAAGCAAACAGACGTGTGATGCATCCAGTTTAAAACCACAGCTTTACAAAGCCACAATAGAATTAAAACACTAGCCTTCGGATTGACAGACATACAGCTATTGATATAGTTAATAACGGTTTCAATGATATTTTGTTCTAAGATAAAAAAAATAGTTTTAAAAAACAGAATGTTAACATTTATGCCAATATTATTAGAGGGGTAAATGAAATACAAAAATTTTTTTAAAATTTCAAATTGTCAAATAATTTTTATGGCTTATAGCCATGTGGAATTTGTTAGAAGATAAAAATACTGACTTGGTATAACTGTTCGCATTGGATCTTTATTGTATTACTATATTTTACCATACGTCACAATACTTACCAAAGTCATACAAAAAGTGACTAGATTTTTTTATAATTGACTATAACCTTGTAAACATGATTACATCTATGTATCTTTTAAACATTAAAACTTATTTAATTTTTAAACATGATTTTATTTATCTATCTTGTAAAAATAACTAGAGTGGGTGTGTAAAATCTACAAAGGGTGTATGATAACTACATGTTTTTTTTGATAATTGAATTCTTTTTAAAAAGTCAGATCTTTTTGTCATTAAATGGCGCACTAGTTTAGACTAGTGCGTTATTTAATGACAAAATTACCCATTTAATAATAATCACCTTTTTTTTTTAAAAGTCCATTTTCAATTTGACATCAATATATCATGACTTTTTACATTTATAAAAAGAAAACAATTTTGTTATAAAAAAATAACTACTTAAATGATTTTTTGAGTTAAACTTAAAAGATTTTTTGTTTGTCATTATTGGATCTTATTATCGGTCAACTCTGGATCATATTATTGGTCATTTCTGGATCTTACAAACTCAATTCTTAATTGAAAGTAGTAAGCTTTTAAATTAAGTTTTATTTTATTTTTTTGTTAATTCACCTCCTCAAGGTCAAGAAGGCCGCTACAGACGAGGAGACTACTTATTTGTGGTACTTAGTAAATTGCAAACTGCGAACCGCGAACCGGTAAAATGCGAACTTTTTTGCGAACCAAAACATTATATTTTAATGACCACAATATTATATATTAAAGTTATATTAAAACTTTTGCTCTTCAATTCTTTCTTTTATTAAATTAAATATAATGGAATTAGATTTATTTAAATCTTTACCCGCTGAATTCTCTGTTCGGTGCAAACCAAAAGCTGGTACTAATTACATTTTCTCGTGGACTAATGACAAGGATAAAGGTAACATATTTGAATATATATATATATATATATATATATATATATATATATATATATATATATATAAATATATATATATATATATATATATATATATATATATATATATATATATATATATATATATATATATATATATATATATATATAAATAAAATTTATACGATTTATTCACATTTCACATTTAAAAAAAATTAAGGATCGTTTGAAGATTAAGTTGTTTTTAAATAAATAACCAAGGAAAATTACAATAACATAAAATATTCTTTAGAAAACTGGCGTGCAGATGGTTACAGGTGGAGGCAAGGGGGTTCAAAGACAATTAAAGGAATAAAAAGAAATATTTTAGAATTCTTGTTGCACAAGACACAGTTAGTGATGAGTTTGCACGTAAAGCACACTATCATGCTGACTATGCTAATTCAGTTCTGATATCATACATAGGTGATGAAGCTAAGGCTGTGCAGTTTCCTCATGGAAATGCTATTTAATAGAAATATTATCAGGACACAGCTAGGTGTCATAAACCAAATTAAGGAAAGTACAGGTTCTGTCCGAAAAGTATACAAAGACATAACATTATCATAATACAGCTGATACAAATATAACAGCAGTTCCACGTAACATGGAACAAATCAGTAATACTTTAAAATCAACACACAATCAACAAAGTTTATCTAGTTTATACAATCTTCATGAATTAGCATATGAATTTTATTCATAATATAATAACATTTACTGATTTGGTTGTAGTTATGTACTCAGATGAAACACTGCAAATTTTTCAGCAAGTGCTGAAATTGTCTCAACTACCTCAGCAACTATCATATGATATAACTTTTTCTTTAGGCGACTACTATCTTTCTGTTTTGCTAATTAGAGAAACTGAGTTTGACCTAAGTCCAATCATTCCAATGGCTTTTATGATACATGAATGCCCCATTCCATATTTTGGCAACATATTAAATCAGTATGCCCAGAACTTGCTTCAAAGAATGTTTTTATTGTCACAGATCAAGAACGGACTATAACAGAGGCCATCAAAGATAGTTTTCCATCAGTTCCACATTTTCTTTGTTGGAACCATGTTTTGCAGGACAGTAAGCAATGGTTATAATTGCACAGAGTGAAGACAAAAGATGAAATGTATTCGATCTCTTCTTTGATCTGATTCTGAATCTTCATATAAAGATAAACTAATAACAATGTTATCAGCATGGAGTCAGCCTTTTTCTAAGTACTTTATCAAAACAATTCATAATGTAGTAGACAAACTTGGATCTTGTAGAATTAAACAGTTTGATTTTCATGAAATTACAACAAACCAATCAGAAGCATTTAATACTGCAATTAAGCAACTACAGGAATGGAAAGAGGCTACTGTAGGTTCAATGGCTTTAAGCTTATATAGACTTATACAATATAGTATGGTGGAAGTTAAAGGAACTGGCCATTTTGAATTAAGAGCTGAATTGAAAAGTACTTATGAAGAATGTGATCTTCATATTCCAGATACAACAACACCAGAACAAATTGTTCAACGTATTAAAGAAATCATCAACAATCACTTTATAGTTATGCATGATACATCTAAAAGTGCAGAGTTAGTACAAGATACAACTATGATAACTTCTGTAGAAAGGGCTAATGAAAACATAAGAAATTCTTATATTGCTCTTGACCTAAAACTTGCGATCTTTATTGTAAAAGGATCTATAGTACCACGTGTGGTAAAACTGTTTCCAAAAGAGACATGTTCATGTAAAGAAAGTAGATGTTATAATATTTTGGCAGCACGCCAGGCTATTGGTTTAGCTGTTTCAAACAACAACAAAAAACAGGTTAATCTAACACAACTTTGTCGAAATACAAGAAAGAAATATGACAAAACAGGAGGAAAAAAAAGACCAAGAACACTTGATATTGAAGTTATTCCAGCAGGATATGCTAATCCAGACGAAATAAAAGATTTGATAGCTAAAGTTAATGCCTTAAAAAAAACATGATATATATATACACATATATATATATATATTTATATACATATACATATATACATATATATATATATATATATATATATATATATATATATATATATATATATATATATATATATATATATATATATATATATATATATATATATATATATACAGGGTTGCCACCGTTATTTAAGGACAAAATTCCCTGATTTTCCCTGATTTTTTTGCTAAAATTTTGCTTTTTTCTCCCTGATTTTCCCTGATTATTTGCTAAAATTTTGCTTTTTTATCCTTGATTGTTCTTGATTTTTTCCCTTATATTTTGCTTATTTGCCCCTGATATTTCCAGCATTCAAACACCCACACTTAACCTTAAAACTTCTCCATTAACCCCAGAGCATTTTTACCTCTAAAAAAACAGATGCTATAATCCCCCAATGATATATATATATATATATATATATATATATATATATATATATATATATATATATATATATATATATATATAAAAACTTTAAAAATCATTCTCTTGTTATATGAATATTTCTGTTTAATGAGTTTGATTAAAAAGGCAGCGTATAAACTTTTTGTTTTAAATATATTTTGATGTTAATATATATTTATAATTACTATATTTTGCTGACCTATAGTGGTCAGCATTATCAGGTGGAATAAAAAACGTTACAAAAATTGTTACAAAACTACAAAAATCAAACCGTCAAAAAAGAAGACATTACAGGCGTAAAATAAAAATTATTAAATAATATTATTTTATAACTATTTTTATTTTACGCCTGTATTGTCTTCTTTTTTGACGGTTTGATTTTTGTAGTTTTGTAACGATTTTTTAATCCACCTGATGATGCTGACCGCTATAGGTCAGCGAAATATTGTAAATATAAATATATATTAACATCAAAATATATTTAAAACAAAAAGTTTATACGCTGCCTTTTATTCAAACTCATTAAACATAAATATATATATATATATATATATATATATATATATATATATATATATATATATATATATATATATATATATATATATATATATATATATATATATATATATATATATATAAAACGGGTATGTTCAACAAGCATTAAAAATCCGTCAGACTTATCTAGGGTACAAGATAATGAGATTCAAAAAAAAAGTAACAATTAAGATTGAAAATGTTTTTAATAACGAGCAATGTATTAAAAATTCAAGAGTAAATACAAACAAATTACAATAATTATTTAAAAAAGACTAACAAAAACAAAATAATTAAACTAAATAAGTAATACTGTTAAATAGTGAAATGTTTGAAATAAAGGTTAAACAATTTTATGTTAGAAAAATGCAATTATTTGCAATTGACTTCTTTTTTTTTCTTATATAATATAACTAATGCCTCCTTAAGCATCTTAATTTCTTTTTTGTGTTCCTCACTTTTTCGCTTACAGTCATTGCCTTTTGTAAGTAGAAGTTTCATTTGAGACATATCCTGCTGTTTGCCAGCTTCCGTGGTGATTGTAATAAATTCCTCATTGTATGTTTTACACACTTTGTTCAATACTTTTTGCTTTTCCTTAAGTTCAAATATTTCCTGATCTAAAAGCATTATCACGCTATTTTCATTTTCTTTTGCTTGGAGTTTTCTATTTTCCTCCAAATAATTTTTATATTGTAACGAGGCACTACAAACAGCCTTTATCATTTCATTGTTTATTTTTATTTCATGAGCCTTTAATTTGTTTGACACCATAAAATCCTTGATAGTGTGACGAGATATAAGTGACTTTTCTTTCATATTTTCACTGAGCATATTACTGTTAATACTGAAACCTTTCTCAATTGATGCTTGCCCATGACATAACGTAAAAATATATATCAAAACTTTTGACAAAG